CGAGGGAGAGCCAAAAGAAGAAAAATCAGAGAGTGAGAAAAAATCAGAGCCAATGAATGAGGGAAAGCCAGAGAGCCAGGAAAAGCCAAAAGAAGAAGAAAAGCCAGCCAGCAAACCAAAGGCTGCGGGAAAGCGCCCAGCTGGGGATGGTGTACCCAGGAAGGCCAAAAGAAAAACCAACAAGGGGCTGGCTCAGTGCCTCAAGGAATATAAGGAGGCCATACACGATATGCATTTGAGCAATGAGGAGATGATAAGAGAATTTGACGAGATGGCCAGGGTGGAGGATGAGGTGAAGAAAACCAGACAGAAATTGGGGGGGTTTATGTGGATGCAAAAAAGTTTACAGGACCCCTTCCACCCGAGGGGCCCAAGGGAACTCAGGGGTGGGTGCAGGGCCCCACAGAGGGGCTTTGAAGACATTCCTTTTGTGTAGTGCCCCTGGCAGGCATTTGCCCAGGCCCTGTGCTTTAACCTTATGCTAGTAATTTGCTTTAGCTGTCACTCTGGTTATCAGTAGCCTTTTGATCCAACTAGAACACTCTACCAGTAGGAGATTTTTCACCCATGTGCATTGCAAAGTCGTTATAATTCTTGGAAAATAAAGTAGCTTATAATAATCATCTATAGAATCAGTCCACTTTGTAAAAAAAAAACCATAAGTTTATATAGTACCTCTATGCACAGGAAAAATAGAAACTTTTGTTCACCAAAAGGTTAACAGTGGTTCTCTGAATTATAAGACTGTGGGTGACTTATTTGTTTTCTTTCTACTCATATTTTTTCCCTAAAGAACACAGATTACTTTTTTCATAAAGAAATACTAAAATATAAAAAAAAGAAAACAATACACAAAAGAAATACAAAGATCTGTTCAGTGAGTTTATGAAGGCAATGGAGACACTTAAAATTCTTGTCAGAACTTAATATGTAAAACTCGCATACCTCTAGGACTCATATTTAGAGGAATCAACCAGCAGTTATGACAGATCCATTGCTGTAAAAGACAGTCTTGTCATCTGTGAAATGGGGATAATACTTGCCTCACAGGATTGCCGAATGGAATAGATGAGGTGCTGAGTATGTGAGCTGTGTTGGTCTGGTTTCTACTTTTTCCCCTACACTAGCAGGGACCAAGACCCTCCCCCCCCCCACATCAGACACTTGGAAGAGGGTAAGGTACAGCTCACCTATGCTCAGGAATAAGGCCAAAAGATGGGTGCCACCCTCCCCTGGGTACTGCCATGTCTTCTGGACACTGTGCCTCTTCTTATGAGTTCTGCACACTCTTAAGGGTCTCACTGCTGCTGATGGGCTGGTGTCCTCAAGGTGACAAAGTTATGCTTACCCAAGTGGGTTAACACCTCAGTAATACTTTGGCCCTTAATGGATTTCAGATTTTTTTTAGCAAAACAATCCTTTCTGTGTTTGTTGCTTTGTAAGTATGTATTTGCAGACAGCTATCTCTCTACTGGATTCAGATATGGGAGGCTGGAATAAAATCTGAGGGGCACACACCAGTTTTTTCGCCTGTCGGTGCCTTGTCTGCTTGATTCCTCTTTCCTCAGAGGAAATTGTCTCCTAGGAAACTCTTGCCAGGTCCTGCCTTACAAGGTTAACACACCCTCCCACACTTAAGGTTTTAAGAGCGTTGCTACTTAAATAGTGGTCAGTGGACCAGCTGCATCAGCATCACCTGGGAGAGTTAGAAATGCAGAATCTCAAGTCCCCATCCAAGATGTACTGAATCAGAATCTCCATTTAACAATATCTGTAGTTGATTTCTGTATGCATTAAAGTTTGAGAAGCACTGTTTTTAAGGAGACTTTACCTAGCCTCCCCACTCCCACCTTCACATGAAATATGTGACTAGAAGAATAAATACATGTACTACATAAGATATACATCAGATTATCTTTGTTAAACTGTGTTAACTGCGTTAAACTTTAGTTCCACATTCCCTGCACTAATAGAGCCTAAAACAAATTTAGTGAGTCAAGACCTACAATTTATTAAGGAAGTAGGGTAGATTAGTAAATAATCAGATTCTATCACATCACAGGTAGGTAGGGTGAGAATTGTTTTGTGAAAATTGTGTTTCAGTTACATATATATGTATATCTGTACACCCTGAGTTGTGATGAAAAATGTATTTATGATTGTGGACTGACACTTTTAAAAAACTGAGAAACACTGCATTGGACTCTGCTTCTCAAAGCGCAATCTTTCCTTTCCATCCTAGTACCTCTAATGCCTAGCATGGTGTCTGACAAGTCATAGGTTCTTAATAAATTTATAAATAATAATAACTAGGAGTTCTCACCCCAGATAATGTCTTGTCTAGATAAATAACTGAACTTCTCTAGCAGGGTTTTACTTGCAGTTCCAGATGGAACACCATGTAGAAGTGTATTACCACAAATTTAACCCTATTTCATTTTATTCATGCTTGCGTGTTTTTGAAGTGTGCTCGTCTGCCACATGTCAGAATCACCAGGGGACTCTGTTGAAAATGTGGACTCCTGACCCCTACCTCAGATCTACTGCTTCTTATGTGATTCTGATTCATCCTAAAGGCCGATGTCCACTGACTTATATATTCATTATGCTCTCAGTCATATTAAGTGTGAACCACCAATAGGTAAGCAGAAGAAAACAACTGCAACATCTATTTCTGGAGAGAGATGGGAGATGAAGGTCTTTCTAAGGTGTAAAACAAAGTTTGGGAGTAAGAATACATAAAGGCAAGGATTCATATATCTACTGAAGAGAACCTGAAAGTGTCTTTAGAGCAAATCAGATCTAGAAAAAAAGGCAAATGGAAAGCATCTCATAATATTGTGTAGTTCTTTCTTCAGATGCTATGATAACTATAGCAGTTAAACAGTTCCATTGCTAAAGAAGACTCATGGGACTCCAAATGTCAGTGCTTGCAAATCCATAGTTTAGTGCAGAAAAAAAGATGCAATATAGCAACAACATTAAGGATATGTGTCATAGCTAAAAACTGTCTCATAACAAGGGGTCTGGAGTGGCCAGGTGCAAGCTCCAATTGTCTGCCCTCTCTATAGGAACCCCGGCAATAGGCACTTCTTTTGGACCAGGAACCACTGATGTGTACACAGAATACCTCAGAACCAGAGAGCACAAATGGAGTCTCTGTCCAGGATTCTCCTACACTGCTGGTTATGTAGGCATATTCTTGCTATGTAGCTAGCTTCAACAGCAGAGCGCTCTTGGTGGGGAGGTTCACCAAGACTAGGTGCAAATAATCAACCTTGTTGTTACCAATAAACAACAAGCTGGTACAAAGCATCCATAACTTCTCAGACCCGTGGTTATAAAACAATACTCTTATTATCTTTAATGCCTTTTTGATAGGACAGTACTAAACAGGTACATTTCTTATTTCAGTAGACGAGCTCAGACAAATCCCAGTCTTATTTGGATTGACCCTCTAATAACAATATACCATTTACTCTCTTCTTTACAATGTAAATAAAGCCAGTGGTGTACCCTTTCACACTGCAGGCACAATTCTCACACTACTACTAACATGACTCTCACCCAGTTGCTGGATATCTCTCCATCTCATCTGGATTCACTCTCCTCCCTTTCTGTATCCTGGGAAGTCTGACTTGTATGAACTACATCAAAGGACTCCCTTGTCCTTTGGGAACCAGCAGTGAACAATGCGGTCAGGAACTTTTCCTCCCAGTTTGCTTCCTGCACTGTCACCAGACACTGAGTCTCTTCTCCAAAGGTTTCTGTAAGGTGGCCCTCTCAACATAGGCTATGTGTCTCCAACTTTTAGTAAATCCTCTCTCCCTTTGTCTTTCAGGGCTAGGGCTGATAATCCTACCTTTACTAACCACGGAGTATTGCACTGTCCCTTGTGGTTCTCAAATACTCTTCCCACACCGTTGTATATTGTCCTTTAAAAAAAAAAAAAACTCCTCTCACATTTTCTAATGTGAACGTGCCCCCCGTTTTCTGCCATGCACTTCTCAGATACAGTAGTAAATACCAAAAGTTACTACAGGAATTGGGTTGCTCATTTGAAGAGGGAAAAATAACCTCCTTACAATGGGGGTAAGGAGAGTGGAAAGCAGCTGTTAGGAGAGGTTCACTGGTACATGGCATGTATAGTATCCCAGTCAAATTAACACCGCTGGTGGCATGGAATGAAGTATAGGAATCCAAAGTTTTGGGAAATCAAACAGATGTGTCATTTAAATACTGTGTTGAAAATAAGTATCCAAAAAGTTGTGGAGTTATCTGATGGTCTTAAAGAGTATGCATAGGGAAAAGAGGAAATTAAAAACTATGAAAATACAACAGAAAACACATGTAGAACACTAGAAAACCTGCATGACATGTTTGAAGGAGTCCCTCGTCTTATGATATATAAAACTGAGGACCAAGTCTGGGTACTCATAGTGTCACAGAGTTCCACTGCCAATAAAATGTTCTATCTGCTATGGCTTTTACAATAAGGTAAGGATGCAAGTAGGGAAAGAGTGGAATCCTGAAATATCAAATAGGGACATTTGTGTAGACATGCTCTAAAATATTAAGAAATGCAGTAGTGAGAGGGTCACCAAGCATCTTTGAAAATTTCTGTGTGTCTGTGCTCTGTAGGCTGGAGAGAATGGTGGAGAGTACTGCAATGGAATCAGCTACTTGATCTTAATGTGAATAAAGGGATCCCAGAGTGGTGGAGGTCAGGTGACAGTGCTTAATCATGTAAGACAAGGTGAGCGCAACTACAACAATAAGCCACAGGAATGAAATGATAATTAGAGGATGTTTGAACCACAGGGATCTGTGGTGATGGCTAATCAGAGAATTCCAAAAAATGAAATAATTGGGCAGTGTATAGGATGCTGCTCAATATATTTCAGGCAGAAAAAAATTCTAGATCTGCTGGAGAGCCTAATTAGAGTTGCTGTGGTGGGGTTTCTCAACTTCTTACTCAACTGAAGGGAAAGCAGAGTACCTTTAAGGTAGGACCCTACAGCCACTGGTGTATATTATAAATTTTGCATTCAACCTTTCCCAGTGGGACCTGCAGATATTTTTTAGGGTGACTGTGCACTAGGGAAAAGGAAATATCAAGACCTTCTGAGAGTTATTAGCTAAAGACTCTGAACTGGTGCTAACCTCTAGACTGAGAAACAGAGAGGCAACAAGATAGACAGTACAGAAAAGGCTACGACAGACTAATGGGGCATGGTGGGAAAAAATCTACTGTATATGTAATCAGAGTTCCAGAAGAAGAGGAGAAAGAGAATGGAGAAGAAACACTGTGAAGAAATAATGGAAAACTGATTTCTGTCATGACTGCCTGAGGAGCCCCACCACTGACCTGATACCCAGTGAAAGTGATGAAAATTATATTTTAAAAACCCACAACCATTAAAGCTTTTGGAAATGGTCCTAAGGACAAACAGCACACAAAGAAACATCTGTTCAAGAAAATCTACAAAAATTTAGTAAGGTGAGAGCCTGTAATATTTGAACCAAGACAGTTCCTTCCCCACTTTCCAAGCTCAATGAGGTGGATACTTCATTCCACACTGCTGCAGCCAAAAACACAGGGCTCCTTCTCCCCAAGATCCCAGCTA